TGTGTGATGATAGTTTATCATTATGTATATGTAATGGTGTATGTGTAATGATATACATGTATGTGTAATGGTAGTTTATCATTATATATATGTAATGGTGTATGTGTAATGATATACATGTGTGTGTAATGGTAGATTATCATTATTATTAATGGTATATGTGTTATAATACTAGTAGATGTAAGACCAGACCAGACCAGATTAATGAGACAATACTAACGAGACTAAATATATAGACATGTCCAGACCAATTAGACTAAACCCATAGAACAAAGGCCAAAGATACCATACCAATTGGCAAATTGGACGACTAGACCAGAACAGACCAATGGGCCAATCGGACCACCTAGCAAGACCAGATCAGTGAGGCAAGACCAATGAGTCTAGACCAATAGGCCAGACAAGGCCAATATCATGATACAAGTCCAATAGGCCAATGGGACCACAAGACCAGACCAGACCAACGACCCATGAGACTAACCCAGAGATCAGACATTGGCAATGATACCAGACCAATGGTGCCAAGAAATACAGAACAAGACGCCAAGCAATGTGTTATTGTTTGGCGTACCACAGGGGCATGGCTAGAGTTAACCAAATGTTGTTTGAATTGCCATTTTATTTATGATAAAGGATGCAACACTATTAAATATACAAAGCATCGTGTTTGGTTCCATCCTAAGTTCACCATTGTCCTCGCTAGGGTTGTTCATTTGAAAGGCTGTATCTAGTGTGTAACTTTACCAGACACAAATGAGCGATAAAGTACATTACCGTTATGTGAGCAGATGTATTTCATGAACGGAAGAAGCCAAATAGGCGTGGTAGGTATATTACCTACAATAAGTGGGAGTGACGGGGGCGTGGTTATGGGAGTAAATATTACGGAAAGCTTTCAAGTTTTTGGCGATTTTAGATGCAATTACCACTTATGTCTCGTTCCCGTAGACAAGATGAAAGAAAACTACTTTGCGGCGTTATTTCGGTCCTGTGTTATAACATGTTGTTTCTCATAATGTCTGCAGTTAAAATCAGTTAAAATGACGTAAACAAACACACTAAAGACGGTATCAATGTTTATTTTCCATGATAACTTGATGTTTGTGCAAATGATGATAAGCTGCCACTTCCGTAGAAAACCCCAATTCATCGAAATACCGGATCACATTCGATCGAGAAAATTTTGCTGTTAATTAATTATCTCGTGATGTAGGTTGGAGTGACAAAGCGCACGACAGACGCCACAGCCGATCCAACGAACCCCATCACCACACTTTATGAATACAGATTTAATCGGATGGAGGACACACATATGTCTCGAATTAATTTTGATCCCGACGAGGAGTAGATACAAGATGTGTTAACAGAAATCTGAAAATGTTTATAAAGCTGTCATTTTAGGGAAACGAGTACCGTACACATGTTAAAAATGTGCTTCTTTCGGACAAAGTCGATGTTTTTCGACTAAAGTGTCAAGAGGTCATGAAATCTGTGAAAGAGTGTAGAAGTTTACACTATTCCATCAGAACAATGTGTGGTACCACAGTCTCACACTACGTAAACAAGGACAACGCAACATAGACGCAACTGTACCTTGAACAAGGTTTACACACTGGAGAGGCAAACGCTTCTAACTACAAATACCAAATGTGATTTTTTCTATTTATAACTTCTCGATCATTGACTTGCATGGTAGTGACGTTGCATCGGTAAACAACGCCAGACATGACGTTATATCTGCATGATGTCACACACCTTGAAATTTCCTAAGCTTCAAACAATAAACACGTTTACCTAATGTAACGTAAACTCAGTTCTGGACGGACGTTCTAAATAGGGTGTGTGTTTCCGTCCCTGAGACTGAGCGGGTCCGGCTGTGTTAATTATGTATGTCCCCCGCGGTTATTAGTACCACACTCATGATGTATGAGATGATCACCCCATGTGACCTCGCCGTGACCACGTCCTAATTGCCACCAAGTCATCTCAGCACAAACAAGCTGGGGGAATTCGGATGAATTGAAAATCAAACGCTTGATCGATCTTCAGTATCAATACTCATAATCAGTCCTATACCTCACTTGTGACCGAAGACAAGGAGTAAATTTCCCTGATGAATCCAAACGAATCCTCTATAACTTGTAGACAAAGCAGATAGGTAACCAGGCCGGGACACACACGACGAGTCGTGAACAAATGACGTCCATATTGAGTGTTAAGTAAGTCTAGATATTTCTACCATAGGAACAACTGCTTATGACTATATCATGTTTCATAAAATCCTAAGATTATTAATTAATGCTTCGGGATATTGTGCCTGCGCAGATAATCCAAATTATTAGATATTTTTATTTTCATAACCAACGTGAAATTCATATTGTTTGTTTACACTTCGACACCATGATGTTTATCATAAGGACGACAGACGCAGAGAGTGACATGGTGAGCATGTTAACAACAGATAAGACAAAAGGTACATCATGATAATATCTATCTAATGGTCAACAACTTAACAAATCGTCCATAACCAATTTAGCATACAACAGATAGTAGAAAACGAGACCATGTAATGATTAACGTGCAATATTATTTCTTTTGTTTCATTTTTTTTATCAGGAATAACTATATTTAACCCGGGTATATCCCTTCGGGCGCGAGAACAACTTGTATCATTGTGGGACAGTGGTAATTACCCTATCAATATAATAGAATTTAATAATACTGAAACTTTATACATTATATGAACTGCTTTCTATAAACATTTATACAGAGGAAGGTAAACATAGGGAAACATGCCGCTCTAACAGTAGTTTTCTGCATTGCTTTTTTCTTGTATTTTCATGAAATTCGTGAAACTGTGATATGGTGCAGTTCCGAGAAGGCAAAACCGAACATTTCTACGGAATTACACCTTATCTCAAATTGACAAAGTATGTCATTGTGTTTTGATGATTTAAAGTGTGTGTTGTGATATCATTTGTATGTTGTAATTTATTTAGGTTTTGTTGTGATATACTCTGTATGATGTGGTTTACTTTTAAACCTCCAATATTTAAAGTGGTAAAATTGTACGTGGTATAATTTATAAGTGGAAACATATATTGTGGTATTTAGAGGGCTGAGAGAGAAAATACGTGTGATGGTTTAAATCTAGATACATATTAATTCGGTAAAGGTGCCATTTGTTTTGATAAATACCGCACTGTCTTAAATCTGAAAATAGGTAATATAGTTCTATTTGAGGTACATGACAATTGTATAAAACAGTTTTTTGTTATACACTTTAAGGAGTATATATTTATTATAGAAAAATATTATATTACAGTTTGTGGTGATATAGATTTATCATAGTACAATTTCAGATATAGATTTATTACAGTACAAATCGCGGTAATATATATTAACTATTGTACAATTTGAGGAAATATGTATATTTATTAAATTGCAATGTGAGGAAATATAGATTTATCATAGGTAATATAGATTTATTATATTACTATTTGAAGGAAATGAACATTTATTGGCGTAGGCAGTGTCCAGCGTAGAACATGTATTACTGTGTTTTATAAGGCAAGAATAAGGTTAAGGGGCAGTAACTCAAACAAACCATCAAGTGTCTCGTGTTCAGTATAACACATGAAAGCTTACATTTATCACGGTACTTCCAGGCTTGAATAGGGTCATTATCATGTTATTCATAGAATTCCTCCATTCTAATAAAAGTGATATTTTTACTCGGTCAATTATATTGACCAATCAGAACGTATGTTTATATAAATTGCAATCAAAATCGCCGATGCAGGTGAGCACCAGAAGGATAAGTTGTTGTTTTGATACATTTTTGGTACATAAACTGTAATATTTATAACTACATAACTGACAGCATTTGAGAAGCCCATTTGAAATTGACTTGTTTCAAGCATGACGTCATTGAAATACAGTCAAAAGAGTACGTACTTTCTTTACGTGGTAATGGCTTCCTCTTTCTGCTTTAACGTGGAATTAATAGTAAATTTAAAACTAGAGACAACGTTGAATCAAATCTTAAAATGTGAAAACAATTTTAGAATGTAGAAAGCCAAAGTGAATTTCAATAAAATCGCCGAAGGTGAAAAGGACCAAACACTATTTTCAAACGTCTTGATTCTAATAATGTGATTGTGATGTTCTCGTTTAATTTAATTCTTCTTAATAGCGAACTTATAGAAACAAAACAAAATGGAAATAACATCAATATTATCATGTCAAATACTTTATCTCTGAATACGACCAGATACTCCAACTAGCTGTCTCAAATGAAACACACGTTTGTCCCTGAAATAGTCTGTGCAAACACAGTTTATCCCCCAAAATACCAACTTCTTTCGTAAACATTACCTAAATTTAAACTAAAAATCAAACAAACAAACAAAAACTATATAAAACAATGATGATTTGGATAACATCATCCTCAATGTTCATTTGTTTTATCACTATGTTAAACAAAAATCGCATTTTAACACACAAGTATTAGAAATATAAAGGAAGAAAGCATCTTTTAAAAATGTAGAAATCTGAAAACCAAACAAAGTATTTACAAGGTAATTTTAGTTTTATGAAATGACCTTACACTGGTAATAAGAAAGAGGTTCGAATCCATGCAATGCAAATTTCCGTATTACACAATACAGTAGCTTTGGGACCTTTTTGTCAGAACTCAACAACTGTTATCCACCGATTAAACCGACAAATGGAAGCCAATATTGAATCTGAATATGTTTGTGGAATGTAATCGCGACGTGACGGCATTATTAATCATTTTATTATCCGGTGTTTTTGCTCTGTTATACGGAGCAAAAATCTGAACATCAATACGAGCTAATCACAAAATCTTCAAATAGAAAGTACTTCAGTAAATATCAACATGACTTTTGGTTAATATTGCCACTAGGATATGAAAATGTAATCCCCATATTTAATGGCCATGCACGTTCTCGTGTAAATAAACGTAAAGGCGCCAAGACACTAACATAATTTTATTTCCAGTATTAAAGTGAAATGCGTCCTGCATTTTTCGTATTACTGTAAGAAATGAAGCAAACGAATTGACATATATAGACATCAAAATAATGACAGAACACTCAAGAGTAGTTCCGTGAACATGATCACATACATACATGACATCATACTGTGTTCATACATTTTCACTCATACAGTTGATACGGCAATACCCGATCATCTTTAAAAGTACAGCTAGCCTATTCAAAAGGTGTTTTAAAATTAAAGTCAAAAGGTGTTTTAAAATTAAAGTACAGATAATATTAGTGAATCGAATTCATCAATTGAAAACATCAATTGAATACATAATTAACCTTGAAGTATTAACACAACAAGCAGAACTATAACGAGCATGGTCTTGACTTCCTTATGCGGTTTTATCAAATCTGAATAGCAAGAAAGTAATGTAAATTCATTGGAAGTTAATATCAAAGCTTGCCAATATTCAAAAGTGTATCAGATGTCTCAGGAAATACTCCTAAAAGAAGTTTCGTGCAGTTGTGTCATGAAATGACATCCTCACCTGACGCATCAACTATATTGTAAATTCGATTTTCTTAGATACATGTTAGCAATTATGCAGATTACACACACACAATTAAAGCATTCCTGACAAAGGTTGTCTGTCATCTAAAGGAGCACAAAAATAGAATTGCGACAGTCATTTATGAGTTTATCTTATATTTTGATATAAAACATGCTGCCTGAATAGGATTACTATACAACAATGGTATTTTACAGTATTTCAGTCTGTTATGTAGCGCTATGAACATGTCTAGATATTCTAAACAAGCGTGACCTTGGATATGAACAATGGGGATAAACATTTAACATATACAGTATTTTTCTAAGCGTTACATGATATCTTAGCCTGAAATACAATATATGATATCTTAGCCTGAAATACAACATTCTATTAGCTGATCCACAAGTTGTAAGACAATTTAGAGGAACAGAACAGTATCAACCATAACAATCTGTAGGATAATCTAGATAGGTCAGGAGGACGGTACCATTGCTAAATATATCTGTTCAAATATTACAATAAAAGTGTTTATTCGTGAATAAATTGTCAAAAGCGCAAACGCGAGATCAATTATTCGCTGTATGTCATAATGACAGTACGTGATGTGATGATACCAAAGACAATTATCATGATACAATTTGTGAAAATTCTATATAAAAATTGTAAACTTTGCAGTCACTATGCAATGAGAGTCAAGGGTGTTGCAGACAAAGTTCACTCCCCTTAAAAGATAACATAATTGTTATTATTCTGACAGTAATTCAATCATTCCCCTGATAAGAAAGTTTAGTTTTACCCCTACGATTTTACGGACATGATCGCAATAACCAGGCATTCCTTATGCAATGGTGGACCTATATAGTATGGCATTGTATACCTATGCTATCAAAACCATAATGAACAAATAATGAACAATATAAAAAAAGTCGTGATGATGTTACTATTTAAAAAATATTTACAGAAAGAAAAAATGATACTTAATACACAACGATATCAATGCGTAAAGAATTATAGTACACAGAACACTGATACATTTAATAATGCTTGAATTACAGATACGTATTGATAACAATGTTAGATTACAACGTAACACAAAACATTTGAACCACCCAGTAAATATTATATTGAAGCAATTTTACCCAAGGGAAGCATATACATGTATACATCTTTATAAGACTTGTTATTGAGTTGAAAATAATATAAACCATTGATCGCGCGCATTCGATTTTTGTTGTTTAAATATTCTGAATGGATTTGCTTTGTGATAAAGCGCCAATGTGCATGCTGCTGAATTGTTTATCCTTTCCATTTTCCATCCTAAACATTTGTCGCAAATAAGAAATCTAATATATGGGCAAGGAGTCGCACGATGTTTCAGTTTAACATAATTTCAAAATCCAATTATCATTATGTACGCTGTTCACACCGGGCCGTTCAATCCTAAGACCAGTATCCTCCTTTTTTCCTCTGACATCAGCTGAGCATGTTGTCATTTCAGTTCCCAAAAAGTCCATTCTGATACTTCACAACGCCACATCGCTTTTAATACGATGCTATATTGCATGTTTACATGTCGAATTCTCTGCTCCTTTTATTTTTTTCTCTCGGTGCGTCCTCTTCGTCTCTCCTCTTTACTTCTGAATAACGAGCATCATATTCCCCTGCCGACACTGGGTTAGGTCTATCCGCCGAATAATTTCCTCTGAAACACACAAAAAGGTATCGATAAATACATTTCTAGGAGAGAAATACCTGCATGTGATCGCATCTTAATTTTTCATTTGAGATTATAGATGTATACATAACATCTATGAATAACATAACCTAGGAACTATCTGTTTATGACAGCAATGAATAAGCATTTAAAAATAACAAGATCAAAATTTTGGAAAATAGAACATTGTTACAATTTCAGTGTATTTCAAAATAAGGTCCGTATTCTGTCAAAAGTCCGTATTCTGTCAACTTTTAAGAGAAATATCGAGTACCGCCTATATGAACCAGTATAACTAGAGTTTCATCCATATGTTTGGTATGAGTAAGCATGGAATACACTTGGAAGGGAGTGACAGGACACACGCAGCATACACAGTTGTTGGCTTTTTTCCTATTGACAAAAGTTCATGACTGCAAATGAAGTGAGGTTTTACCTTGCCTCGATTTGCACAGTCAAGACATGACTCGACAACCATACACTTAATCTTTCCCGTCAATTGAATACAATAATGAAATATGTGCAATGCAGTTTGAATTTACAAAGTAATGTTAAGCAAGATGTACTTGTTAAATAATAAGCGACAGAAATAATATTAAAAATGTAAATAAAAACACCGATATAATTTCAATGAAAAATACCGATAACGTAAACACCAGGTAGCAATGATTACTTCTTAACTAGTCTAAGACTTATTCATGCACATCAAAATATCTTATACCATACAAACACAATTAGTATCATTGATCATACAAACACAACTAGTATCATGCAAATATATATTTGGTAAGTCTGTAGGATATAGCTACATTATACAACACCATATACAAGCAAGGAAAAACATAATATGTACTGCAATCTAACCACAAAAACCATCATCATATTGCTGTTCATTGTAAAAAACATACGAGTAGGGTCGTTTTGTATGGCTAGGTTTTATTTATGAGTATACGAGATATAGTGGGGTATACGGGTTAGGACGACAGGGACAGTCCGCCACCAGGTAACTAACAGGTAGCCTCTAAGCGGTATGAGAGTGGGAGACTTACTCACCCTTCGTCCGGAACACTGGCACTAGAGTAAGATACATAAACACATAGGTAACGTCTGGTGTACTCGGTACTATTTCTATTTCATGTTGCACCTTTTTACTCACTGTTACCCATTTTCAATAAGTGTCGATATATAGTAACCCATATCTAAAGGATATCCGATTAGGATTATTAAACCATATTTATATAAACATTTTTTTATGCATATTTATGGGAACAAAATGCATCTTTGGAACTTCAATTTCTTCAGAGGAAAATATGTGTGATATAGTATTCAATATGAAGGAACCTTGAACCGTTTACGATAATGACATTTGAATAGTACAATTACTTGTTTTACTTAAATATAAATATAATATTCCGAAGTATACGTAACAAACAGTTATTGCGTATCGTTAATTATAAACATGCTGGTTATGAAGTAACAAAACGCTCAAAAATATCGCAAATAAAATTCGCTTCAAGTAGAATTAAGTTTAGGAACTCGACACATAAGATAAACGTTAAATGATGTAAAATATATAAATTGTAAAATCGAAAGTCAATTCTTCTAGAGGTGAATTCCCATTGATGTTGGCGTTTTAATAACACCACATTTTACATACAATGATTTTGTAATTTACATTAAAATCTTATAAATAGCATACGAACAGTAATTTACTATACCGAAATGTGAATGCGTTTACCACAGGTTGGCCACATAAATGTGAAAGTACAAATGTATGAGGGTAAACTATTTGTTTGACTAAATTTGTTAAATTACAATTAAAAACAGATTACATTCATGAACATTTTTTCTGGTGAATGCATAAAGCAAGCTAAGCATGTACTTCTACTTTTACTTCTAAAGTAACTACTTCTACCATATATAGCTAAAGCATGGACATAAACGTCTATCATCAATATTGCTTAACACATGAAATATACGGTGGAGAATGTGAGAAGACTATTGTATCTTTGCTAGACGTATGACCCGAGTGTGCTATAATAATAAATATAGTGTCGACTATTCATTCATTAACAAATATTAAATGCCGACACTACAGAGTTGCATTTAGAACACATTTCTCCGAACGTAAGCTTGCTTACAGTATAAATTGAGAAGTAACAAACTGCCTCGGATGTAAGCGCATATACCTGTTTAATCGTTATGATTTTTAACATCAAAACTTAAGAAATTAATGTTTCTTTGAAGAACAAAAGGGATGTATAGTTTAAGACCAACAATTTTTCGTACCATAGAAATATATGGCCAAGGAAGGCGGACAAACAAAAAAAGAACTTTATGTTTACATCTAAAATATTGTGGTAACGCTCTCTGAATTGTCAGCGATTATAAGTGCATTTTTGAGACAGAGAAAGGGCTATTTACCCAAACATATCGTACAACGGAATATGTATTAAAGTATTATAACCTTGTTTCGTTCCAAAATGTAATGTCACAATTTCACGTTGACAAATTTGATTAGTTTACGGAATTGCAAGCAAACGTTCAATTGGAAAAAATAATTTGAGAAAACCCCAGCCACCACGGCAGTACTGCACTAACTATACAATCATGGCAGCTTTGTAGTTAAACTGGTGAGTTTTATGATATCTCAATAACCACAAAAACAAAATACACACGGGATCCGAATACGATAGAATTAATATTTGTAACATATCGTATTATACTGTATATAACAATAGTTTCTATGCATTTCGGTGCTGGAGATCGAAAGTTTGACGTCGGGACACGGCAATACAATTGTGTATATCATATACTTTATATAAATCCAAACTTTAAAGGTATTAAGGTCTTTTTTTAATACATATATAATGAAAAGCACAATTAACTGATAACCAGAACGACGTTAGCTTGCTTCTACGGAAAGTCGTATGCGCTTCAATGATAGTTTCAATAAGGAATCTGCGTATTTGTTATATGCAGACAAAGATTACCTCGCTGAATATTGGAAGCTCTAGCATGGTAATCGCACTAAGGCTAAAATAGCATATATTGTAATTGCTGACATGTGCACATTCTATGTACCTGAAGTAAGATGCCCTACCTCTTGTCCTTACGACTACGGCGCCTGAGGACAACGGCGATGATGACGGCTATCAACAGCACTACTACAATAGCCACGACAATACCCGCAATCATCCCGACGTCAGCCTCGTCCAATGGAGTGTCTGCAAGACAGAATATTATAGGACCCTATAGCACGTACATTCACTTACACACTTAACTTAATAAATAGTTAACAAATATACTGAGGCAATGGTATGATATGTCCAAAGTCATGAACGTTACATGAATGTAACTTACCTGTTCAAACATGTCTTTGTTTATTTTATGACTATGCTTTCAACTGCTTTCAACTGCTTTTCAACTGCTAGCTTTCTTGGCTTTCTGTATCGGTCTACTTATATAATAGGGGTTTCACTTATCTGACTTACCTTCAAAAACCCTAACATATATATATATATATTATATAAAGAAAAATTCTTAACAACGAGTCTTTTCAAATAAAGTTGTTGTCAAGTCGATAAATATTATAAATCAGAAAAATGATCCTTACGGACAAATAAATATTATTATAAATCAGAAAAATATTTATTCGTCCGTAAGGATCATTTTTCTGATTTATAATATATATATATATATATATATGTTTATGTCATAAAAGTTTGGAAAATATAAAAAAAAAAACCCATCAAAAATGTATTGAGTGAAGCTGAGAACCTGAACATTGACCACTGATAACATAAACTGTTATGACATCACGCGCAGCAAGCTAGTTAACGTATATGTGCACGTGGTTTATCAATTATCACAATGCCTGACCCTAAATGAACTCTTAATACAGCGTGCGGTTGAGTCTCCCAGACGTTACACGTTGTCTGACAGTTGCTTGTGTGACTTATTGTAAAGGCAACGGACACTGAAGGACTTTAGACTTGGATACTTCAAACTTTGTCTAACAGTTATGTGTGTGTGAGAGTGTAAGCGGGTGTGTGCTACGTATTTGTACAGCTAGCGGATACTGCTGAACTCAGTGTCTTGGATACATTAAACCTGACTATTGTATGTGTGAATAACTTGTACAGATAACGAAGACTGATGGACTCCAGGTCTGGGAGTTATTAGACGTTGTCTGCTAGTTGTATGAACAAAAACAAAAAGTTTCAGGATGTTTTCAACAAAGAGCCATACCTTCGTGAAAAAGAGTCAGAATAAAAAAAAACAAATACCTGAATGCACAACTTCAGGTGGTAGTTATCATATCTGGAAATTTTCGTTGAAATCGATCCATAACTTTAGAAGGAGTTGTCCGGACAAAAAGTTTCAGGATTTTTTCAACAAAGGGCCATAACTTCGTGAAAAAGAGTCAGAATGAAAAAATAATATCAGGATGCACAACTTCAGGTGGTAGTAATCATATCTGAAAAGTTTCATTGAAATCGGTCCATTCCTTGAGAAGGAGTTGTCCAGACATTTTTTTTGCCTACGGATAGACAGACAAGCTGATTCCAGTCTGACTTTGTTGCGGGGGGTATACTAACTTACTTGTGCAGACAGTGGAGGCTGAATGAATCTAGACCTTAAAGTTGTTAGATGTTGTCTGACAGTTATTTGTATAACTTACTTGTGCAGACAGTGGAGACTGATGGACTCCATTCCTGGGAGTTGTTAGATGTTGCCTCACAGCTGTATGTATAACTTACTTGTACAGACAGCGGAGATCGAAGGACTCCAGACCTGGGAGTTGTTAGATGTTGCCTCACAGCTGTATGTATAACTTACTTGTACAGACAGCGGAGACCGAAGGACTCCAATCCTGGGAGTTGTTAGATGTTGCCTCACAGCTGTAAGTATAACTTACTTGTACAGACAGCGGAGATCGAAGGACTCCAGACCTGGGAGTTGTTAGATGTTGCCACACAGCTGTATGTATAACTTACTTGTACAGACAGCGGAGACCGAAGGACTCCAGACCTGGGAGTTGTTAGATGTTGCCTCACAGCTGTAAGTCGTGTCTCCCGCCAGGTCACCAGCCCTACAGCCAGTCACGGTCACAGTGCTGCCAAGACTGTAGTTGTAGCTGCTCTTTGTACTACGGGGCACGTTCAAAAGTCCACATGATCGAGCTTTGTAAGGAAAGAGGCAAGTATTGTCGCTTTATTTAGCAATCCCCATAATGAGAGAGAGAAAAAAGTATAATGATTGCATCAAACAATTAACCCTTGCCATTGTGTTTGTATTTTGTCTTCCTATAAGTATGAACGACAGTATGGTCCAACAAAGCTACTTGATCCGAGCAAACAGATGTCCCTTTGGTGTTTATTACTTAGATATAAAATAAAGTAACAACGTCAGTGTGGACAAGGAAATATGCCAAATTCTCGACACAAGCCTCACCTTTATCAATATATCCATTGACCGTATGATACTTAAAAAAAATCAGATAGAGCATGCGTACTGCTTTTTTCGACGTTTTATTATAAAGGAGACTTAACGTTGGATATGGCGACGACAACTTTCACCATAAGAATTCAGTTCTATAAATACGTTTCCATACTTACCAGGTGCAACTAGTAATTGTACCTCTCCGAACCATTCAGCAGCCATTTTTGTTTGACTAGCTTGAGTCCTGTAGTTGAGTTGTTGATAGTCGAATTCGCAGCTTGTTTGTCCACTACATACATCATACATTGACTGGATTCTCATAGGGAACGGTACATTGTCGTTGAGGTCGGACGGAGTTCTCGGAGAGACGAAATGGGGAAGTATAGATTCTCCCGAGTTGTTTACACGCCCTAAAAGGGGACACAAAAATGAAGCAAGTACGATATACCATACAAATAAAAACTTATATTTACAATACCATACAGGTACATACTCATATGTGTATCTTCGTTTAGGAATATAGCGTATACACACACAAGGAGATACATGTAAACAATGTTTAGGATGATAGATCATGTCAATATGATGTGGTATAGACTTTATTGATTTCACACCAATTTATCAAACAAGGTTTTCCATCTTACATTAATCACTCTTGTAGGCTGCGAATGCGAAGGGTAGTGAGTCTCAATGCGGGAGGAAATCGGATTATTCATAAAATATATCTATTTGGTAGGAAAGCTCACAGAATACCATACTGATCAAGGAATCGAACCCCGGCTGTATTGGTGAAAGGCGAGTGTGCTACCCTACGACCTGATATTTAATGCCAAACCTAATGTTGCTTACTGATCTTAATCATATTTATGTTAATGATGGAATGGCGACGAAATATGTTAGCATGTACCTTGCGCCTTGTCATGAACTGTAAGCTGGTGTTCTATGATATCCTTCCATACAGATTGCACTTACAAGAGGAGGTAACATTCTAAACTACATGTTATAGGAGAGACATACAGAGAATGTGAAGACGGGAAACATTCTAAACTACATGTTATAGGAGAGACATACAGAGAAGGTGAAGACGGGAAACATTCTAAACTACATGTTATAGGAGAGACTTACAGAGAATGTGAAGACGGGAAACATTCTAAACTACATGTTAAAGGAAAGACATACATAGAAGGTGAAGACGGGAAACATTCTAAACTACATGTTATAGGAGAGACATACAGAGAAGGTGAAGACGGGATACATTCTAAACTACATATTATAGGAGAGACATACAGAGAAGGTGAAGACGGGAACCATTCTAAACTACATGTTATGGGAAAGACATACATAGAAGGTGAAGACGGGAAACATTCTAAACTCCATGTTATAGGAGAGACATACAGAGAAGGTGAAGACGGGATACATTCTAAACTACATATTATAGGAGAGACATACAGAGAAGGTGAAGACGAGAAACATTCTAAACTACATGTTATAGGAGAGACTTACAGAGAATGTGAAGACGGGAAACATTCTAAACTACATGTTAAAGGAAAGACATACATAGAAGGTGAAGACGGGAAACATTCTAAACTCCATGTTATAGGAGAGACATACAGAGAAGGTGAAGACGAGAAACATTCTAAACTACATGTTATAGGAGAGACTTACAGAGAATGTGAAGACGGGAAGCATTCTAAACTACATGTTATAGGAGAGACATACAGAGAAGGTGCAGACGGGAAACATTCTAAACTACATGTTATAGGAAAGACATACAGAGAAGGAGAAGACGGGAAACATTCTAAACTACATGTTATAGGAAAGACATACGGAGAAGGTGAAGACGGGAAACATTCTATACTTCATGTTATAGGAGAGACATACAGAGAAGGAAAAGAGGGAAACATTCTAAACTACATGTTATAGGAGGGACATACAGAGAAGGTGAAGACTGGAAACCTTATAAACTACATGTTATAGGAAAGACATACAGAGAAGGTGATGACGGGGAACATTCTAAACTACATGTTATGGGAAAGACATACAGGGAAGGTGAAGACGGGATACATTCTAAACTTCATGTTATAGGAGAGACATACAGAGAAGGAAAAGAGGGAAACATTCTAAACTACATGTTATAGGAGGGACATACAGAGAAGGTGAAGACTGGAAACCTTATAAACTACATGTTATAGGAAAGACATACAGAGAAGGTGAAGACGAGAAACATTCTAAACTACATGTTATAGGAGAGACGTACAGAGAAGGTGAAGACGGGAAACATTCTAAAATACATGTTATAGGAGAGACATACAGAGAAGGTGAAGACGGGATACATTCTAAACTTCATGATATAGGAGAGACATACAGAGAAGGTGAAGACGGGATACATTCTAAACTTCATGATATAGGAGAGACATACAGAGAAGGTGAAGACGGGAAACATACTAAACTACATGTTATAGGAGAGACATACAGAGAAGGTGCAGACGGGAAACATTCTAAACTACATGTTATAGGAGAGACAAACAGAGAAGGTGAAGACGGGAAACATTCTAAACAACATGTTATGGGAAAGACATACAGAGAAGGTGAAGACGGGATACATTCTAAACTACATATTATAGGAGAGACATACAGAGAAGGTGAAGACGGGATACATTCTAAACTACATATTATAGGAGAGACATACAGAGAAGGTGAAGACGAGAAACATTCTAAACTACATGTTATAGGAGAGACTCACAGAGAATGTGAAGACGGGAAACATTCTAAACTACATGTTATAGGAAAGACATACAGAGAAGGTGAAGACGGGGAAACATTCTAAACTTCATGTTATAGGAGAGACATACAGAGAAGGTGAAGACGAGAAACATTCTAAACTACATGTTATAGGAGAGACGTACAGAGAAGGTGAAGACGGGAAACATTCTAAAATACATGTTATAGGAGAGACATACAGAGAAGGTGCAGACGGGAAACATTCTAAACTACATGTTATAGGAAAGACATACAGAGAAGGTGAAGACGGGATACATTCTATACTTCATGTTATAGGAGAGACATACAGAGAAGGTAAAGAGGGAAACATTCTAAACTACATGTTATAGGAGGGACATACAGAGAAGGTGAAGACTGGAAACCTTATAAACTACATGTTATAGGAAAGACATACAGAGAAGGTGAAGACGGGGAAACATTCTAAACTTCATGTTATAGGAGAGACAAACACAGAAGGTGAAAACGTTAAACATTCTAAACTACATGTTATAGGAGAGACATACAGAGAAGGTGAAGGCAGGTAAACATTATAAACTACATGTTAAAGGGGAAACATTCTAAACTACATGTTATAGAAGGGACATACAGAGAATGTGAAGACGGGAAACATTATGAACTAAATGTTATAGGGGAGACATACAGAGAAGGTGAAGACGGGTAAACCTTATAAACTACATGTTATAGGAGTGACATACAGAGAATGTGAAGATGGGCTGCTATCCCTTCCTATAGAGGATACATACACGAGTAGGTAAACTGGTTGTAGAATTCTTGGTTGCCCGTCGCTGTTATGACCTGATTAGTGTCCCCGGAGGTGAAGTCGTCTGTTTTGTTGTCATTCCACGTACCAAGAAGCCCTCTCACGTGACCCTACAATGAAGGTTAGCACAAGTTTATCCTTTTGAACACCTACCACTCCTTAATTCTGTCAAGCAGTAGTCTTTCTAATTATTAATTAAATATTTCCGAATCAAATGAAGACCTTTTATTTCGGCACTAGCCCAATTATATTAATGATTTAATATCATGGAAAACGATATAATAGAGCGTGCCCTTATTTCGGTGCGTATCATGCTTCGCAAAAGTTTTTTTTAAGTCAATGTTTGTCTTTCGCTAACTATTGTTCATAAATTGTGTGAGGTAAGCGATTGAATAGGTGTTAAAGATAAAGTTTGATGTCATAGTATGTTAATCTCGAAAATGTGTATGCGATAAATTACTTCAAACATAACTCGTTATACTTATAAAGACCCACCTCTTCACGTCTGCATTTAGGCTCTTTGCACAGACGTCATTTACACACCGCCCTTTATATATTCATTAATATGCATATTGATATATTGTACTTATCTTCTTACTTATTGTATAAAAGTGATTTGTATGTCTTTTCTGTTTATCAATAATAACTAATACAATTATCCATATATTGTAAAGCGCTTGAGATAAATTTTACAAATTATATAGGACGCTTTATGAATGTTGTATATTATTATATCATCATTATTATGAACAACGAATTAATTTCTGAATTATAACGGCAGGTGCTACAATATATTTACAAACTTATTATATCATCAGTAATTTTTCTTTATCATTCTTTTTCTGTTTAGGTGTAAACACTGACAATTGAAACGTTTTATATCTAGTATAACATGTGTTTTATAGGTGTTACACCAAAGTACCTTTAAAGTGTGTGGGACCAACACTAAAACATTCATTAGTCCGCTAGCGGCCACCACCTGGACACCCATGCCGTTCCTCAGAATGACGGTGAAGTTAGAGTTGATATTTCCGGCTTTACTAGGGGAGTTTACAATGGTCACCTCTGTAGACAGAAAGTCACAAGATAGAAAAAAACCATCAGGATATATCTCATTGCGGTTTCACGATCCTCTGTTTAAACTTTATCTCCTTTAAAACTATCTCGATGGATGTTTACGTGACTTGCTTTCATTAATTTATGAAAATATTATTGCTTATTATATTTTAAATGCAAAGCGAAAATGCTTTAGAAATATATATATACATACATTATAACCACTAAAGATAAGAAATTCATTGTATATGTACGATATATATACGTATGTGTAAATCGTACGCATCCATAAATACATACATCTACTCGCTATATACGTACAACACGGGTACATGTACCTAGACTATGTATTTAGTAACTAGTACAGGTAAACAGGTCGTGTATGCTACATTTTGTATAAACTTACGTGAAAATTGCTGCATGTACTCAGGTTCTGAATTAAAGAACTGGAACGTGTTGTTGACGAGGACATTAAGCATGCGCTGGGGACTGTTCCGGTCCAGTTTGATTTCGACTCTCTCCTGGCCCACTTCTATTCCGATGCTAGACAGGATTACAGATGAGTTGAGAGTCGTGGATTTACCTCGAGTGGATTTGGCTGCATCATACATAGTAAAGAGTGACAACTAAGTTACACTGTACATCAGGGAATGTTTGTATCATACAACGGTAAGGAGTGACAATCGAGTTACACGGTACATCAGGGAATGGTTTGTATCATACAACGGTAAAGAGTGACAACCGAGTTACACGGTACATTAGGGAATAGTTTGTATCATACAACGGTAAAGAGTAACAACCGAGTTACACGATACATCATAAAATGGTTTGTATCATACAACGGTAAACATCAGGGAATGGTTTGAATAATACAACGGTAAAGAGTGACAACCGAGTTACACGGTACATCATAAAATGGATTGTATCATACAACGGTAAACATCAGGGAATGGTTTGTATCATACAATGGTAAAGAGCAACAACCGAGTTACACGGTACATCAGGGAATGGTTTGTATCATACAACGGTAAACATCAGGGAATGGTTTGTATCATACAATGGTAAAGAGCAACAACCGAGTTACACGGTACATCAGGGAATGGTTTGTATCATTCAACGGTAAAGAGTGACAACCGAGTTACACGGTACATCATAAAATGGATTGTATCATACAACGGTAAACATCAGGGAATGGTTTGAATCATACAACGGTAAAGAGCGACAACCGAGTTACACGGTACATCAGGGAATGGTTTGTATCATACAACGGTAAAGAGCGACAACCGAGTTACACGGTACATCAGGGAATGGTTTGTATCATACAACGGTAAAGAGTGAAAACCGAGTTACACGATTCATCAGAAAATGGTTGGTATCATACAACGGTAAACATCAGGGAATGGTTTGTATCATACAATGGTAAAGAGCAACAACCGAGTTACACGGTACATCAGGGAATGGTTTGTTTCATACAACGGTAAAGACTGACAACCGAGTTACACGGTACATCAGGGAATGGTTTGTATCATACAACGGTAAAGAGTGAAAACCGAGTTACTCGATTCATCAGAAAATGGTTGGTATCATACAACGGTAAACATCAGGGAATGGTTTGAATAATACAGCGGTAAAGAGTGGCAACCGAGTTACACGGTACATCATGAAATGGTTTGTATCATACAACGGTAAACATCAGGGAATGGTTTGAATAATACAGCGGTAAAGAGTGGCAACCGAGTTACACGGTACATCATGAAATGGTTTGTGTCATACAACGGTAAACATCAGGGAATGGTTTGTATCATACAACGGTAAAGAGTGAAAACCGAGTTACACGATTCATCAGAAAATGGTTGGTATCATACAACGGTAAACATCAGGGAATGGTTTGTATCATACAACGGTAAACATCAGGGAATGGTTTGTATCATACAATGGTAAAGAGCAACAACCGAGTTACACGGTACATCAGGGAATGGTTTGTATCATACAACGGTAAAGAGCGACAACCGAGTTACACGGTACATCAGGGAATGGTTTGTATCATATAACGGTAAAGAACGACAACCGAGTTACACGGTACATCAGGGAATGGTTTGTATCATACAACGGTAAAGAGTGAAAACCGAGTTACACGATTCATCAGAAAATGGTTTGTATCATACAACGGTGAAGACTGACAACCGAGTTACACGGTACATCAAGGAATGGTTTGTATCATACAACGGTAAAGACTGACAACCGAGTTACACGGTACATCAGGGAATGGTTTGTATCATACAACGGTAAAGAGCGACAACCGAGTTACACGATTCATCAGAAAATGGTTTGTATCATACAACGGTAAAGACTGACAACCGAGTTACACGGTACATCAAGGAATGGTTTGTATCATACAACGGTAAAGACTGACAACCGAGTTACACGGTACATCAGGGAATGGTTTGTATCATACAACGGTGATGGGTGGTAAACCCAGATATATTATATAAATTGTCAGTATCCTAAAATGTGGCTACCTTTCCCCAAACGCAGCATTTCTACATATGTTTTGGAACACATTTCTGCATTCGTTTTGGAATACATTTCTACATATGTTTTGGAACACATTTCTACATATGTTGTGAAACACACTTCTACATTCGTTTTGGAACATATTTGTATATGGTTTGTAGAATTCCATATGCTTTGTCTTTCCGTATTAACAAATTACTGTCTGAAATAGTTATTTCCTTTTTCGTATTTCCAGTGGTTATTATACAACACAATGAGCATAGCAAATAGGATACCCTTAATACCAAGGACCAGTTACATATAACTACATGACGGACGAACATAACATAAACACGTGTTTGCATGGTAATAGATACGGTATGCCGAAAAAAAGAATAACGCTGCATCATACTGCTGTTTCACCATCGCTGTTGATAGGACGTTAACCCTTTTACCACTGTAGACCATAATGGACTCCAACTCAATGCATGGCAGAGTCTACTAAAGTTACATAGGGTTGAAAGGGTTAAACAATACTCAACCAATCATCCTTCTAGAACACTTCGATGATGCGAAGGGCGTAAAAAGCTTGAAATCCAAATTGTACAAACTACTGTTGGAATACAGGGACAGGTGCATAACACTTACCAATTTAAGGATGTAACAATTCAGGATCAGAATATATCAGAGACAAATATTACCCACATAGAGACCTACCTAAATAATCCCTGGAGAATCTTCCCTGCATAGTGATGTCCATGGGCACCACTTCCAGGAGTTTAAAGTCACCCGCACCATAAACGCGGTACTGATTTTTGTCCAGAGTTTCCACGTGTCCTTGTCCATAAATGGTAGCTGAAAATAGTATATTTTATGTAGTGAATTGTTAGGAGTTACAAAGAGACAAATCGCATGTAAATTGGTAGGAAGCATATATGGTGTGTTGAGTGGTGTTACCTGCCCTTGGCGGTGAGTATCCACTGCAGTCCCTGGTAGCCCGCTGGTCCATGTAGTAATCACAGTCGGCATATTCCGTCCACAAGCAACAGTAGTAGAATGTGACCACGTCCTTTACCCAGTGAGACATGCTAGGCACGAGGTCTGTACGCCCGTACGGAAAAGCTCCCCATGCATGACTCCTGTCTGGCGTGCTCCCTTGGAACGAATCGGCTGCATACCGCAGGGCACCGTCAGGCCCGTAACAACACTGGTTCCCAGATCCCAGTGGACTACAAACAAAAGTATGACATAAATAACATGAAAGGTTCATTTGTTTAATGTGTTATTTAAGTTTTGGTTGTCAAGTGATCATGTGACGTTCCTGAGGAAGTGGAAAAAGCAGCTGCAGGCATTAGTGAATTTGCCGTATCAAGGTTTTTAGGTTTGTTTTTTAACTGGTGGAAAAAACTACAAAACAAAACAGCCAATAAATAACCTCGCACGGTAGATAAAGAGAGAAACATTCTGGTTTTACCCATATAAAGCAACTATATATTTGCTCCTTTTTGTAAATGTTGTATATTGTCTTTTCTTAAAGGGCTTCAGCATATGTTTAAAGACTCTCAATTTCTAATCTTTCTATGATGTGACCTATGACCTATGATGTGACCTATGATGATTTACTTATGTTTGTTCACAGCGTCTTTCCCATGCTTGGAAATGTCAATTCGAATGAGATGATTGGTTTCACGGCTCTCACACAATTGGGCCCGATCATGGTAAGTGTATTTACGTAAGTTTTAACGCTCTCACACAATTGACGGCCCATGTGGTACATTTATAAGTGTACTTACGTAGGTTTCACGGATCTTACACAATGGACGGCCCCTATGTGGTAAGTGCATACACTTCCACTGAACATGTCACATCCTGGATCAGTCTGGAAGCGGCCGATGTCTACGAGAGCCTGGCCCAGGTTACAAGGGCAGTAAGGTAAACTCTGAAGCCAGGCCATGTCCTGCCGGTCCTTATTATACCACAACACGCACTTGTCATGGGGCCAGTGGCTGCCATACCTCTGGATCATGTCGTTGTTGACATACCAGCCTAAAGGCAGCTCGCGACTCACAAGGAAGCTGCAAGAAAGACCAAGAAATGCTGATAAGCAGGTACTTGATTGTAAATAATGAATATGTTGTACTATTATTCTGAGATGCAAACTGAGCCATGTCGGTCTAGTTCCTGTTTGTTTCTTTAAAAGTAAGAATACAAATTACGAATTAAATAGATTGGCATTTTAAGTAAAATCTCTACAGCTTTTCATTTTGTTCGTATTTGATAAGAAGCAGATTATGTTTATAAGTATTTGTCTCTTCAATTACTATTAATAAGATGATATTTTCCAAACTAATTGATGCTTTTGAATAAAGTAGATATCCAAGCAGTAGAAACCCGTCTCCGATCTTTCGTCAGTGTTGTTATTCATGTTACAATTTAATACATAAAAACCCGGATACAAGAGTACGTGTTATAATAATAGAACATCTTGATAGTTAATCAAATTGCACTAAAATGACTTAATTATTCGTTACACTAATTGTTAAACACGATGACAATTCAGGTGATACATACAGGTGAGATGCTGCTCTCGAAGTGTCGGCCAGCCGTACCTCCACCAGACCCGTCTCAAAGTTACATAGGTCACCCGAACATCTGTGGTCACGTGTGTTGAAAGTGTACACCCCGTTGTTCATGACGTTTGGACCTGCGCCCAGGACCTGCAACTCGACCCACTCTGCCTGCTCATGTAAACAACGTACATAACATTAAATGCGTGCCTGTCTTTCTGTTAAGCTTTTGTTACTATATATGGAAGTTCAAGGGGTTCCAATATCTTTCCTTGATTCTAGTTCTAATAAAGTAATGAAATTGTATTTGTCGACTTAAACGTATAAGTTGAGTAACATACAGTCCTACTTATATTTCAAGAACCGACTTCCATTGTAAGACCCATCCCTGTTTATTCTATCAAATCAAATTGTATATCACCACTGCCGTCTACTTCCTTATTGCTGGCACTTTCACTGTCGCCATCATACGAAAATTAATCCTCAAAAGGTCTGAACAATTTTCTTTTTAAAAGGATGTCTCAAAAAACCTATGTGTCCATTTTAGTCAGTTAATCATGTTTCATCTAATTCTTTTGACTTATTGCTGTAATGAAAGGTAAGTTCATTATTATTTTTTATGAAATCGTGTTTGGCAAAACTGACGTTAACAAAAGCATTATGGCTTCTTCAATGACATCATAATAATAAACATTTCTGTATTTTTCCCAGTAGATACTGGGGTAGCAAAAGAAAAACAAATGTGTATCTAGAGAAACCGCTTCAAGGGGGAATGGCTACAGTTTGGGCAGCAAGAAATAACACAACTGTTGAACACTTTATTTTATCTAAGACGGCGAATGTATGGCCTTCTCATTCCCCAGACTTGACTCACCTGGACTTTTTTGTGGGGTTATCTGAAAGTCTAACACACACACACACACACGAAAATAAAATCCATAATTAAAAGAGAAATTAGGAACATTTTTGCTGATACATGAGCAGCAGTAATCAGGAAATTCAAACACCATATTGACGTTGTTATTACCAAAAAGGGACATAATTTTGATCAAATCCTATAAACTGAAGAATTTGTAAATGTCTGAAAAGATAATAATTACTACAACCTTTGGAAATGTGCATAATAAATTTGAAATGTAGAGCTGAATGTATATGCATTGTCAAAGTTATTTGCATTCAAAATGGACAAAACACAACGACTTTCAAGTCCATAGGATAATTCAATATTGTGTATTGCATATAAAAATGATAAATGAAAGATAAATTGTTCTTTTATGTGTATATTATAATTTCCGTTATTGAGTTTGGTGTCCATGCATCAAAGGGTACAGGGGTGGTCGGGTGGTGCAGTGGATAGCGCACTTGCCTTTCACCAAGGCGGCCAGGGTTTGATTCCCCGATCGAACGTGAAAAGTTTGGGGTCACCTGCCCGATCACGTGGGTTTTCTCCGGGTACTCCGGTTTCCTCCCACACTAAGACCCCCACGCGCTAACATCTGGGCCAACAAGAGTGATTAATATAAGTTGAAATAACTTGTTTCATAATTGTTGTGAAATAAATAAAAATTATATTTTGAGGGTACAGGTATCTTTAATATGGTAGATATGTCGAATCCAAGCATTGTTCCAGGAAACTCATTAATATTTTATCTCAATTTCCCTTCCCTCTTTGCCTTTATACATGGATGTACTGCAGAGGTAATTTCCTTAAACCCCAAACCAACAACAAGAGAATACCGAAGTACTAGCAAATCCGTAATTAGAACTCTAGATAAAAATAGGGTTTACACGGAGACCATATACAAACTACAAGGAGAATAAGACCAGGTGTTTCGGAAGGGTAAGCGTTTTCCGACAACACCACTCGTGTAAATAAATGTTAAATCCAAGTTATATCACGTAAATAAATAAATTTGCACCATCAAGATAAACAAGATATACATTAGTCATACCGTGTCACCAATTTCCCTGTAGCCAATAAGTTTTATGGTGACCAGATCGTTTCGCTGAGTGGAAAGTAATCTTGAGTCCCAGGTCAACGTCAGCTTGCCTGCGTCCGTGGTATTCCAGCCTGAACCAGGTGTGTCAATAGATTGGAGTGTGTCTTTCATTCTGCCTGGAGCCACTATCAAACACCAAACACATAGGAATTTTGATAAATATTGAATTGGATACCAACGTTTTCGAAACGAGTCTCGGGTAATACATTGTTCCTATTAAGGCGGAGAGTAACTATGGTGGGACAGCTGGATCACTCAGTGTATGGGACAAGACTGGGTAACTAAAATGCGATAGGTAAGGCTATTGGTGTTGACAGGCTAGTAAATTGATTTCCTAGAAAGATGTATCTCAAAAGTAATTCAAATACATGCACACGTATAGTTGTTCAGAGACTGCTAAGTTAGAGTCATTGTTGTTTTGAGTCACCATTGGGAATCCGTGTATATGAAATGTTCAAATTACTGTTAGAAGTCTGGGTATATGAAATGTTCAAATGACTGTTAGAAGTCTGGGTATATGAAATGTTCAAATTACTGTTAGAAGTCTGTGTAAATGAAAAATTGATATCATTGTTTTGGCCTAATTACTGAAATGTTTGTACTTCATTTATTTGGACAGGGCAACCAGAACGTCCTCATCGTTCATTTGGGTCTGGTTAACTGAAATATTCGTACTTTATTTATTCGGACAGGGCAATAAAAAACATCCTCTTCATTTATTAGGGTCTGGTTTACGGAAATATTCGTACTTTTTTATTTTGACAGGGTACATTAAACGTCCTTATCATTGATTTGGGTCTGGTAAACTGAAATATTTGTTACATTTGGGACTTTGAGTAGATTAGAGGTATGACTTTAAGATATACATATATACCTACCTATTGTTATTATTCCCGAATACTCTCTGCCGTTACCGTGCCTCAGTGAGACCTTGACACGCCCCCTCTCTAGAAGTCTTGGCACGCTACATTTTGTCTTCATTGAGTTGATATAGATACCGTATGACGTCACTTGTGAATTTCCAAACGAGCACGTTATATTCTCATTAGGAAGTATACAGGAACCCGACATCTCTATCGTCTGTCCGCCGAACATCCCACCAAAATTTGGCGACATTTCCAGATGTACATTTGCAGCTATAGAGTGAAATAAACGGTCAGGTACAAGTTTTCAAGATATAAATCAAAATACAAACTATATCCTAAAATTATTTTTTTCATTGAGAAATTGAAGATTATAGCACAGTCTTCTTTTAACTAAAAAGAATAAAATATTTGTTTTGAAAATTGGTTAGGTCAATGTGCTAGGCATCATTCATGACACGTCACAATAACCTTCTGTATTGTCAACATGAATCCTGAGAAGAAGCAATTAGATATAATTTCTTTTAAGAAAAATAGATTTCGACATAGTTGATTCTTTTGGATAGGTAAACGAGATTTCAAGTATATCGTCAGTAAAAAAATCATTTTTCACGTATCAAATAAACAAAATACTACTGACGTTGAAGAGATCGGTCCCGGCATCCTCCTCTTATGATCCTGTCGGCACAAATTCGAAAGTAGTATCTTCCTTGTACGTCACTTCCTTTCAATGATTGTGCGCGGTTTAGTTCTGATTGTGGCACGGCTGTTGTCCATCCTCCACCGTATCCTGCATTAAATCCACTCTGTCAAGAGAGATTGTAATAAGCTCTGTATTTTTTGTACATCTCATACATATTTGTATGCTTCCATGATATTTTCTAGATCACTTTTTTTGTGATCATGAGCATATTTCAGGATTATCAATAGGTTGTAATTATATTATTGGTCCCGATATATAATCGACTTTTTATCAGACTGAACTCCTACATTTTTGTTAGTCGATAGGTTGCGCTAAGTTATAGAATGCAATGTACTGTACATTAACTTGTATCATCAACTCACCTGATAGAACCTTCTGATATCAATATCCATACGTCCATAATTGAAGATAGCAAAAGTAAACCCTATCTCGTCTGCAAGAATAGCGACTTGAAAACTGCTTGTCTGAAACATTGATTGCGTCGATATTGAATACCTTGTAAACAAATTAAGATGACAATGTGTAGTTTCTTTAAATATAACTTTATCACAAGAATCCCATTATACTAACAGAAAAGTAAGTACAATTAATTTAACTACCATCAGCGTAAAAATACCAGTTATACCATAGAGACCATAAAGAAAAAGGAACAACTTCACTTTGTCTCCAGAATGCAAAAAGGAATACATGTTTTTCGAAAAGTAAGTGTTTCTGGTATCTTTTTGTTAATCCTAGGAAATCCATTTCTGGTGGTAAAAGCTGTCTTAGACACATTGATAATGATCAATTTATCAAAAGCCCGATATTTACCGGGAAAATCGTAATAAATAAGATTAAAATTCAGAATAACAAAATACATGCATTAGTCATTAATATTTTTATATTATTATCTAATAAAAAAAACCACTGCGTTAACAACTCGTTAGGGGACATGGTCGGAAACTGAGTCTGCGTAATTTAATGTTTCTCTTGTAGGATATCATGTCTACATAAAGTATTGATCAATAGCATGTTACAATGTACCTTGCAAGGCTGCGAACCAGAACCAGAACCACCACATCCATTAGTGATATCAACGGCGGCCGCCACGTTTTCCCACGTGACAATGATTCCGCCTATGGGCTGGAAGTTCTGGATCCCTACCACAGCGTTGGATATATTAGTACCAAACATGTTAAGTTCTGGGCCGTCGTGACTCGTGTTAAGAGTCCTGTAGTAGATGGACCCAGCTCCGGAATGTACATCAAGTGCCTCCCCATCGTGATAGAATGGTGCAATGATGGGGTAATCCAGGCTTGGGGCCACATCCCCAGTGCTGAAGTTGACATTACCGTACGACGCTCTCTCGTCGAAGGATAAAAAACCATCCGTTGTTAGCTGTCAAATAAAACATTGAGTTTGATCACTTGTTTCAGGCGTATGTTTGTTTACGTGACCAACGATGACATTTTACTTTGGACGGAATCGTTTAGAACGTTAAACACTTAAAACCTTCAAATAGTATTGCACTTAGAGACATATCACTGTTATATACTACAGCACACTCTCTGATCGCGCTTAATATGCTGCAACACACTCACCTATGACGACACAACATACTCAAACCTAACATTACCTCTGCTTACACAGAGAAAATAAAATCGAGATAATTCAGCTTTTTACTATAAATGAAAAAATCTAAATGTCTTTAAAACTGTTATACGAGAAAAGTGTTGAATACGCTCTGAAATGTTAACGTTCTTACCCATATACTCGAGTAGGTACCACCGTAGAAAGCGAGAGCCTTGCCATGAGGTAGATCAATCCTTTGCTGCATATGGGTGGTGGAATCTAAGCTAACGAGACCCTTGTCGTAGAATGACGATCCCAGCGCACCTAATCAATATACAACAATTAAATTGTTGTATTTTATTGAAATTACCATCGGATTGTTGTGAGTTTTAAAACAAAGCCATATGTTTTTTGTGGGTTTTAATATTATAATAGGGTTGTTGTGTGTATAAACAGTAATCTAAGGGTTTTTTTTAATTTAACCTCAGTATTGCTGTGGTTATTAATATTATACTAGGGTTATTGTGTATAAACAGTAATCTAGGGTTATTGTTGATTAACGTTACCTCAGTATTGTTGTGGTTATTAACATTATACTAGGGCTATTGTGTATAAACAGTAATCTAGGGTTATTGTTGATTAACTTTACCTCAGTAATGTTGTGGTTATCAACATTAAAATAGGGTTGTTGTGTATAAACAGTAATCTAAGGTTATTGTTGATTAACTTTACCTCAGTAATGTTGTGGTTATTAACGTTATAATAGTGCTGTTGTGTATAAACAGTAATCTAGGGTTGTTGTTTATTAACTTTACCTCAGTATTGTTGTGGTTATTAACATTATACTAGGGTTGTTGTGTATAAACAGTAATCAAGGGTTATTGTTTATCAACTTGACCTCAGTATTGTTGTGATTATTAACATTATATTAGGGCTGTTGTGTAAAACAGTAATCTAGGGTTATAGTTTATCAACTTTACCTAAGTAATGTTGTGGTTATTAACGTTATAACAGGGTTGTTGTAACTATTAACATTAATCTAGGGTTGTTTGGTTACTTTACACAGTATCGTTGATTTGTATTAATGTTACAATATTGTTGGTGCATCTTTCAGCATTAATCTATGGTTGTTGTTTGTTTGCTTTACACAGTATCGTTGTGTTGTATTAATGTTACAATAGTGTTGTTGTATCTATCAATATTAATCTTCAGGTTGGTAAGTATGGATTATGAGAAGTTCTTTTTTATACAACCAATACAATTTTCTATGTGACGTTTCGATGACTAGTACGACATATACACTGTCACCTGACCAGTGAAGCACACAAAGGTGTAAAATGTGTACGAGTTGTCCACAAAATCGTTGTCGCTGTAAGCAAGTGTACAATAGTTGTACAATAGTTGTTATATATGTACCGAAATGACTCGATCCAGCTACGCTTTGTTAAATACTTGGTCATAGATGTGCGAGAGTCTTTGAACCCCCTCGTCTCGATATAGAACTGCCCCACTGCGGCGTATCCAGTTGGCTTCCTTCATCTGCCGCTTGAACAGATTACTCTCTCTGTCCAAAACTTTGGAGTTATCCCGGTCAATCACATGCTATTTCTGTGTGGCATGGTCTGTGATTGCCGATTTATTTATCTGGGACTCCGACTGCTTCCTTTCTGATCTTGTGAATTTCCTACCTTCTTCGGTTTCTGTATCTTTCCGGTGTTCACTAAGGCGGACCCAAAAACGCCTTCCAGTCTCTCCAATATACGACGCTTCGCAGTTTTTGCATCCGATTTTGCATAGCTGGATCGAGTCATTTCGGTACATATATAACAACTATTGCACATTCGCTTACAGCGTAGCCGAAATCGACATCGAATTTGTGGACAACTCGAACACATTTTATACCTTTGTGTGCATACGCTTCACTGGTCATTTGTCTGATGAAGGTGACAGTGTACATATCGTACTAGTCATCGAAACGTCACATAAAATAATGATTGGGGTTGTTGTGTTTATTCATATCATTCTTGGGTTATTGTTGTAGTTTATTGTGTTTGTTTAAAACAATATCTTCCTTTTGACAATTTGCAAAACACGTTTCAGATAACTATCCAGGTCTTTATACACATTAGGTAAGGTAGCAGATGAATGCACATTAATATCTTATCAAAATAGAAAAGGCACCAATGAAGCATTCAATACACTAAACACTAAATGAATGGTAGAGTACTGTAAAGTCGGATAAATAGGTAACGTTAACCACAAAATACCATTTTTGGATTTAAAAAGAAATATCATCATATCATGAATATTTAGATTAGTAATATTTTGGTAACATTCAAAACCGTTTGTGACCCGGTGTATAGTTGCATTATTTTGTTCAAAACTTTACTATTGTCTTTTTAATTTAAAAAAAATATGATATGCCGATGTATAGTAGTACTGTTATAGAATATTGGTCGAACAATTTATAGTTTTTCATTAACGCATTTTATAAACACCAACTATTCTTTGTAGGAATAACATTATTCTGTGAATGCGTTTTTTGCTCAAATCATCATTTGGAATGCTTTCATGCATGTTATGCAAAAGTTTAGTTCCAAAACCATAAAATATGTATTTTAGTGAAAATGCTCAGTTGCGAAAAGTAATAAAGACTTTACTATTTTTTTGCAAGCATGCATGCAAGTTGAGTATGTATTTTGAAATGGTTTCGAATGTTGAAAATTTCGTACGATGTGGTTTCAATCTTTTTGTCAAATTGAGAAATATAATATTGATATTTCTGTTAATTGATAATGCTAGGATGTAAGAATTCTCGGGTTACCAGACAGACAGCGATCCTATCGGGACACTTGATGCAATGCGTTGCTGGATTGTCAACAAAACGACAACGGGGGTGAGGAATATAAGTCAATGTCCTCTGTTAGTGATTCTACAGCTACCCGTGGGGGTAAGGAAAATAGGTCAATGTCCTCGGTTAGTGGTTCCACAGCTACCCGTGGGGGTGAGGAAAATAAGTATGTTTGACATTTGAATTATATGTATTTAAAGTACACGGATCAATGGAATACTTGCAAGTGTATTATATTAATCATTTTGTATACACTACGGGACTATCGTATATGTTATCTTGTCACGTGACAAGTATTTAAGCCTCATTTCTAAGTTCACAAAGCATTGCACTTAGTTGGTATATGCATCTGCTGATAATATGGTCTCACTATTACCGATACATGTATGTAAGATATGGGGTTTGTGTTTTATGTATAATCAATAGGTATAAGCCGATTTGCATTAACTCTTCTTGAGATAACGCATGCTAGTACAAAGGGACGTTACCGCCAAAATTATTAATCCATGAAATTGAAAAGCATTTTATCAACTTATACAAAATGTATTATTCTTCAGATATATTAATTAAAAATTGCTGAACGGGTACCATTGTCGTTATAGTATTCTTTCTGTTGACTTTGACATTTTCAACGGCATGTAAAAGAAGAAATCCCGCGCAAATTAGCTAGACGAACGCTCAGCGTGATACATATTCACTTAACTGTAACTGTTACATAAATAGACAAAGGTAATAACTTGGCTTTGTTTGTTGTCTGCAATATTGTGTGAGACATGCATGATATGTGCAGTGATGTCCATTGTACAGGTATAATCACAGGTAAGTATATACACACCTTTCAGATTACACACACACCTCTGCGTACACAAATTGTTCAAATGCAGACATGCACGAATTGGTAGCTTGTACATCTCCAAAGCATTATAATATCGTAAGGTTAATGTAATAAAAAAAAGTACGAACCTTTGCCAAACATTAATAAACATCCAAGAAATATCCATTTGAACTCCAACTGCCCCGAGGACGCCGCCATTTTGAATGTCTCGGTATCCGGCTAGGTAGTGGGTCCCTAGATAACGAGTGACCGAGGTAGACGGACGCGAACTTTATCTCAGTCTCAGGCACTTGTTTGCTAATACAGATACCCAGGTAGGATTTGTTCGTCTTCGAAACAACACGCCGTATGCAATAGGGAGGGGCCGATATCAGTTTTTAAAAGATATCTGTGAGTCAATCAATTAAGTCCGGTATTTCGTATATTTTGGCTGAAAATGGAGATTGTTTCTTTGATCATGAATGCTCAGAGAGACAATATGCAGAAGACTCATTACAAAAACTTTGAAGCAAGTAAACATTCTTTGTATATAGAAAGTTGGGCAAAAGGGAAGAAAGGTAGAAAGGTGGAGAAGAAGGTTAGTCTTTGCATCCTTTGTAAATAACTAGTTATTGCATTCTTTGTAGATAACTATAGTTATTGCATCCTTTGTAGATAACTAGTTATTGCATTCTTTGTGTTGTCAATACGTTGTGTCAACCATATGTCTTAAACCGAATATCATCTACCCTACCCCACACACAAAACAACAAAACCCCTTATATGCTGATAATGCATTTATCTCTTCAACATTGCAAACAGTAATACTACTTAATCATTACAGCAAACACCCACACACTAGAAACCTCGCTCGCTATCCGTTAGCTGGTGGCTCGATTGAACCTATCCATCTAATCAAATCCATTGTTCGACACGCTATCTAATATACCTGCCCGATAGAAAAAGTTAAAATGCACCATAACTTTTATGACCATGAAAGAGAACGAAAAAAGTACGAAGGAATACTGCTAGGTTTATATGATTGCAGTCCACTGGTTAGATAACGGGGTGGTTATTGCAAGCATTTTCATATTGCAATATATCCCTAGGATATTTTATTTCCTGAAATTAAGTACATTTTTAATTATTTTAAATGGATTATACCGAAAGTAAACAGTAATGATAAATTTAAAATTATTCTATATAGGTTTAGAGGTTTCACACCAAGAAAGATTTTAAAACTAAGATAATAATGTTTCAATCTCTATTGTATTTCTGTTAAATCATTTCATGGCTTCGTAAAAAACAATATTGCAATATCATGCCATTTCAAAATCAAAATGCAATATATATATTGCTTGACAAATATTGCAATGTATTGATAATCAAATAGTATGGTCAACTCTTACTTAATATCAATATGTTATGTGTAGCAGGGGCGATCTGTTTTTCAACACCTTTTAAACAAAATAGTGCTAATACAATAATCATCATATCATATATGAATATAATCATTGTAAATATCTGTATTATGCGGAATTAGGAATGACCACTGAATGGTGGACATGTGGTGTTTACCAAACGATCGTTCACGACATTTAAATGACAGCCACCCGATGAGCCCTGAAAATCAGGACTGATATGAAATGTTTGAGAAGTGACACACTTGCAGGTGATAACAGATATATAGAGAGAGAGACTCGTGTCATCGACGTATCTAGTAAACAGGGTCACTATCTCTGTGCCATCGACAAGTCATAGATATATATTAACACAACATTTACTTCCTTAAAATGCAAACTATTGTATGTCCTGTAACTTGACAAATAAACCGGAGTCCATGCACATGTTCCAGATATATTTTCATATCGGCAAAGATGTATTTAAATCATCGATATATTATTGATTGGCGAGATAATTAATATCGATAATTTAGTAGCCATATCAAGACAGGATCGATCTCGAGAGAAGTTATCAAGAAATAGATAATGTTTCTGTTTTGAATATTTATCGCGGAAGTAAAAAATAATAATACATGTATTAGACTGGCAAGGCAAACTGTAGACTTTCAATAGTATATGTGAACTCCAAAGGACTATACCAATGCCATAGATATAGACACGTGGGTAGTGGTTGGATCATACAACCATATGCCGTAAAGTTACAGTGAGCATCATATATAGGTATGCATTGAATTGATAAACATTGCTTTTGAATTGTTGTCCAAAGCTAACATTATTATATCCTTAAAACGAATCAATACATGTTCACGAACACGACCTCTTGTTATGTTATTGATATGAAACTGGCGAAATTACAAATTCATTTATCCCGTTTTTCACATAACGAAACAAATTTGCGAGAAAATAGCATTTACATTCATGATTGTCTCCGCGTTAATAGTTCGTGTCTTTACCTTCGTCAACATTGTGTGCTTTCCGGCCAGCTGGTACCTTTTTTGTGTGTTTGCAAAAGTTGCTGTATTATATTATTATATTATATTATTATATTATTGAAATATTATTATATCATTATATTATTATATCATTATATTATTATTATATTATTATTATATTTTGCAAACCTTGTTTTTACTTCAACAAAATCAAAGATATGGAATTTCAGGTTTAAAAGACCCATCTCATTCAAAAAGAACTTTTGTAAGATGCACAGTTGCTTAATCAATAGAAATGTCTTCCATCCATGTATGTCTAACAAATGATTGCGTTTGATGACATCACTGTCGTAACGGTTTAATGACTATAAAGCTGAGATACCGATAGCATGACACATGACTATGAAACAATTGGTACCATCCCCTCTTAGCAGATTTCCTCAGGTTTCATCAATTTATCACATATGAAGAAATTACGATCATTGTTTTTTTTGGGTTTTTTTTACCGCATTTTGTTGAAGTGCTGAGGGAACACATATTGCAGTTGAATTACTTTGTTTTAAATGTGGTAGCTTGTATAAGTTATAGATATAATCTTTGAAATGTTTTATAATGGTATTCGTTATGATAAGTATTTGAATTATTATCATTAAGAAAGTATTACAATAAAGAAATACAAAATCATTATTTTCTTTTCTTCTCACTTGTGTTTAATTTATGTTTTGAAACCATTTTCCTTATTATGTATTATGTATGTAACTATCACGAGATGGTATATGCCCATAGCTGGTATTTGTCGGTGGACTCTGCTGGTGAGTTTCAAGGTGGCCCGTAGCCTCGTAGCTGGTATTTGTTCTGGCACGGTTCACATGAGATATTAGTTTCAGTATGATTTATCTGTGATAGCAAGACATGTCACGTTATAATGGGTTTTATAGGTTTTTGTAGACATGGATTTTCTATTTTCTTTTACCTTAAATACCACTTAAATCTTAAATAAATGAAATTTCCATTTGCTTCATTCTAAGGGCTTTTTTCATCTACAAACAATCTTTCAAAATATTTGCTTCAATTCTTCTTATTTCTATTGGTTAGGACTGTAGGTATAATTTAAATATAATTTTATTGAAAAGGTTTTTCATACAAAAGGATTTGGGCAACAGGCCTATAAAAACCTCCTTCTTTAAATATATGCAGTACATACATGTACATATCTTTATAACAGAAATATATAGCCTTATATAAAATGTATTGGTAACTTACTATTTTTTTAATCTTGAAAACAAACATTTTAGCTCAAAAATTATCCCGATGATAGAAAAAGAAAAAGAAAATGGTGATGTTATAAGAAAACAAGAAGATATTTCAAATGAAGTTAAATTATTTTATGAACAACTGTATGCAAGTAATAGTATTATCGAAGAAGTGGATTTAAATCAATTTCTATCCAATTGTAATGTTCCAAAATAAAACAATGTAGAATCTTTATCTTTAGAAGGTAATATAACTTTTACTGAAGCGAAACATACTTTAAAACACATGAAAAATAATAAAAGCCCCGGGTCGGACGGATTTACAGTAGAATTTGTGTAAGTGTTGTTGGAAACAACTAGGTTTGTTGTAAGCAATTAATTATGCATATATAAATGGAAACTTATCTATAACTCAGAAACAAGGAATTATTGCATGCATACCAAAAGGTGATAAACCAAGGCAATTTCTTAAAAATTGGAGACCTATTTGTCTTTTGAATATTGTTTACAAAATTGCATCTGGCTCAATAGCTTCTAGATTAAAAACTATTTCAGATAAATTAATTAACACTGACCAGACAGGATTTATTTCAGGCAGATGTTTGGGGAAAATACACGATTCATTTACGATATAATGCAGTATACAGAGGACAATGATATAGATGGGATGCTTTTGATTGTTGATTTTGAAAAGACATATGATTCTGTTAGCTGGGAGTTTATTGATAATGCATTTAAATATTTTAATTTTGGTGAGGATATTAAAAGTTGGATAAAAGCATTACATAATAATTCTATGACTGCAATAAATCAAGGTGGTAATCTCTCATATTTTTTGAAATTAAGAGGGGTTGCCGTCAAGGTGATCCGATAGCTTCATACATTTTTATTTTGTGTTCAGAAATACTTGCAATTAGACATAGACATAATAATTATATATAAATTATATATAATGTAGACAACTGTCCACTACTTCTCTCACAATATGCAGACGATACCTCTTTTTTTTTTTTTAGATTGAACAAAACAATTATTAAAAGAATCAATAAAAGAACTAAATTTATTTGCAAACATTTGTGGTCTTAAAATAAATAAAAGTAAAACACAAGTTACATGGATAGGCAATAAAAAATACAGTGATAATTAATGCAAAAATACAGCAGTCGGTAAGACATGAACTTGAGACCAGTGCAGTCACATAATCCATAAACTCACACCATTCTGAGCTGGAAGCCCTTGACAAGACAACTAACAACCGCAACAACAAACACACTTATTAGAATATAAGAAAAAATCTACTGGAAACATGATAGAATAACTGATCACCTCTACGGAGCCCTCACCAGGTATGACGACGCAAAGAAGAGTACCCATTTAAGTGGGTGCTCGTCACTTATAATAATATTCCATGAAAATATGTAAGCAGTTGTTGTGTGGTTTCTTACACAGATATAGTGTGCCATTCATATGCAAACAGACAGGACATAATCGCGGTGTAGCATTTGGGTTGGAAACGTGGCTTCCGGAGGTTTTGAAACCAGGGCCCGTATTCAAGAAACCGTTCTCATGCTCAAGAATTGTTTTTGTGCTCAAGCCAAATTTCTTGTTTCCGTTATAAATTAATCAAAGATCTTATTTTGTCACTGGTTTGGAAAACCAATGAGAAGACTTAAAGCCGAAAACTGTTTATAATGTTCAC